TAAAGACATGGAGTCCTGTCGCACCTTAAAAACAATCAAATTTATTAGAGCATAAGATTTCATGGGATGCAGCTCAATTCTCAGATGCATGAAGTGAAAGAAACAGATGGCAGGGAAACACATACGAGATGGGAGTGTTACATCACTGTTAATGAGGCTAATTCAATCAGGGTGGATGTGGCCCACTTCCAACAGTAATAAGAAGGTGAAAATACCCAAAAGGGAAAATTATTTATTGTAAGGAGCTAGCCATTCCCAATCCCTTTACAGACCCATTCCGATGGTGTCAAATGTGCATATGAGACTCCTTGTTTTTGCTGCAACAGACTAACACAGCTACCTCTCTGAAACCATTAATGATATATTAGATTGGAGGGAGGCCTCAAGTGGGTTCCATAGGAATCTATTCTGGGTCTGAAGTTATTTAATAACATTATTAATTACCTGGATGAAGGAACAGACAGCACACTGATCATCTTTCCAGCTGAGACAAAGCAAGGGAGGATTATCAACACTTAGAAAGATAGAGCCAACATTCAGAGAAATCTTGAATGGGCTATAGACAACAAAATGAAATTCAATGAAAATAAATGTAAGGTGCTACACTTAGAGAAGTAAAACCAAATCTAGAACTACAAAATAAGGGATAATTGGCTTCATAGTAGCACTATACAGAAGGATCTGGGAGTTGTAGTGGATCACAACCTCAACATGAGTCACCAATGCAATGCTTTTTTTAAAAAAAAAATAGATTGCATTAACAGAGGAACAGGCCTCAGCTAGAGTACTGTGTCCAGTTTTAGTCACCAATGTATAGAAAGGATGTGGAAAAACTGTAAAGGATCCAGAAGTGAGTCACAAAGATCATCAAAGGGATGGAATGCAAGGCATATGAGCAAAGGCTGAAAGAACTGGGTAGGTTTAGAGGAGATTGGGGTGGCGGGGACATGATACCGGTCTTCAAATACTGGACAAACTGCCATAAGAAAGGTGGATAAAAGCTGATCTTTCTTGTAACAGAGAGCAGGAGAAGAGACAATGGGTTCAAGGTATAGCATAGTTGATTTTAAAGGAAGGATTCAAATGTTAATTGAACGTTATTACAATAAATTCTGTTGTAACTGAGCATGATGAGACTACAAACCACAAGAGTGGCGTTCAAGTGGAGTCTGATTCTGCCAGCCATTTTTACTCACACATATAACTCATGCATTTAGTCCTATTGATATCAGTGGAGATGCTCCCCTGAGCAAGGATTACTATGTCACCAGATTCCCAAGATCTAAAACAAAAATCTGATGTAAAATGGGTATTGGAAAGGTTCATTTTCAGAATAGTACAGGAGTATTTTATTAACCAAAACACGCAGACTTCTTGCCTGAGATTTTCAAAGCTATCTAAGGATCTATGATTGTCCAGTTTCCTTAAGCAGGTTTGAATAATCTCAGCACTAATGTAAAGTTTATTATTTGTATTAGGCAAAAGTGAAATTCTTTGCCTCTATTAATATATTTACTTAAGTTTGATTTTCTGCTATGCACAGATCAATTAGAAAATCTAAATAATGTGGAAGATCTATGCATTCTGAATAACAAATAAAATCGGTTTAAATATTTAGGGCTTCTTTTGCCCTATAATAACATGCCTATTGTGTTTCTTAGAAAAATTATTGTAACTGTGCATATATGCATAGTAACTGATTTTGTAGTCTGCAGAGTTTTTGTTTAGACTGTGATTAAAGTCTTTGGAGGCAAGGAATGTGTCCTCTTTTGTGATTGTACATCACCTAGCACACTGTAGATTTTAAGAGAAGCACATAATAAGTACTAAGAATAATGTCTTTAACATTATATAATATTTTGTTATAGAATTTATAATTAATGAAGCTAAATAATGTGCTCAGGCAAATACAGACCATATTAATACATGGGGCTCACAGTTTTGTATCCACAATCATTTGGAAACAGATAAATAGCATTTGACAGCAAAATATCTGATTAGCTCTCTGTCACTCTGGTATAGATTTATCTCCAAATCCAAACCCACAATGTGTATGTCTCCATACTTAAAGGCAGAATCAGTCTAATAAAACAGGTAGGTATTCCTAATGTTTTTATGTTTTAAATTCCCATGTCACATCACTGTCTTCCCTTATGCCCATCTTTCAGCATTTGGGTAATATCTGGTTAAATTGTATTCTCTTGTGCCTAGCAGGGAAAAATACCATTCACACATCTGTAACTATTATGAATTGATTCCCTCTTGCTTGTTATAAATGAGGTGGTTACTATAGGATAGGTCATCCCCAGAAACAGTACAGTACTACCCCACCTTAATAGCCCTGCTCATTATTTCTTTGCAACTCAATCTATTTCCCTTGTTTGTGCAATCTCCAGGCAGCTAAATTATGTATTGTACCGTTTGAGAAAATCCTTTCTGAGGCCAGGCAGTTCTTTTCAGGGATCTAGGGCATTGTGTGTCGTTTTAATTCTAGGATAAAGACCAAACCAATCTGGAGACAGATGTGCAGAGGGCCTTGTTTGATAACACCCGGGAAACACAGTCGGGGTTAGTCCCATCCCCATGGAACTGGAAAGCCCTGCGTTTAGTCGCTGGTCTCTTCTTGAGGTGCTACTGGATGATCAAAGCCCATCGCAGCTGGAGCCTGCGGTTATGCTCGCTCGCCACCAGCCACCAGCTGCGCGCCCTTTTTGCCACTCGCTCCCAGCTGCACCTTAGCGCGGCCTGAAAGGGACAGGGGGAACCCAGCTGAGGGTGTGATGGCTGGCAGCCCCCGTGGGAAGCTCCCTCCCCCACCACCGATCGCCTGGGCTCTGAAGGGCAGACAGCAGCCCTCACTACCGGGCCCGCGCTGGGCAGGTGGCATGAGCCGCGGCAGGGGGGACACAGCCGAGGAGGCAGGGCGGG